GCTGTGTAAAGGCTTTGGGCGATCTTTGAGCAGCCACTCAGTACATGTGCTGTTGATTCTGTAGCCATATGGCACATTCCGCATTTGGTGTCTGTGATGGTCATCTGTGCTTTGCTTTGTTGGTATGTCTTTGTTGGTAGTAGTTGTTGGCGTATGTTCTTGTTTACGTTGTAGACAATATCGGGAATGTTTTTCCACTTCTTCAGGATCTGGTTGGCTGTTGGTGAAATCTGTTTGTCTTGGAGTTGTTGGTTGGTGTAGGCTCCAAGCCATGACTGCTGTTTTGTTTCTTTTATATACTTCTCCGTGATCTTTGATCGCAGCAGCTCTTTTATTATTATTATTATTATTATTATTATTATTATTATTATTATTATTATTATTATTATCGTCTCCTGTGCTTCGAGGGTTTTCATTCTTCCGCAAAAATCATTTTCTAAATTCTAATTCGATCTAGAAAGGGCCTAGATTGATTTGTGTAATTCTAATTACCCTACTAAATTGTGTAGCGTATTATTGGTTGGTCTCTGGATGCTTGTAGATTCTACTTGTTATTATGGCAGTAAATAACTTGTATGTGGTAGAAAGACATGTAATAGGCCTGTAGATTTTCGCTTCTTTTTTCCAAAATTTCAGTGCTCAATCTCCTCGCCATTTATTTATTTTCTTTTTCTTTTCAGATATCTTTTTATCTATTGTTCAGTTTTTCTGTATAAACTGTTGTTCTGCTTTGGACCCAAGCACTCTGTGTGACTTATCAACTACGTACAATGACTGTTCTCCTATACTTTAAAATGTGCTACAGCTTCTGGCCATCTGCTTAATTTACAATGTGATGGTGCCATTTCATGATGATAATCCATGCACTACTTTATTGCTGGTTTTCACATGACGTCATCAAAACATCAAAATCTAAACTTTAGATCGTATAAAGACATTTCTCAAGTATGTTTTAGAAGTCGGCGTTATGAGTCACAAGAAAAAATCTCGAGTCATTTCGATGTTTGGTTCCCGAGTTGTGAAGGTTGAGTTTGTGTCACGCAATACCGTCACGTCTATCTAAATAGCGATGAAAATATTAAAATAATTTACTTTAGTTGAAAGATTTTCCCTTAGACACGKTTAGAATATCTATTTAAAGTATGTGTAAGTGAAAAATAGTCAAAATTATTAAATATTCCATCATTTTAAACCTTTGGAATTTCGTCCGCCAAGATGGTGTACCAACTTGGAACACCAAGATGGCCGCTCCATACATTTTAACCAAAAATTGCGTCATGTTTMCTCGCCTATAGTTCCGCAACGAAATGCTTTACAGCCTTAAAATTTGGCCAGTATATGTAGTTTTGACCGCTTTACAAGAATATAAAACTTCTATTTCATTATAATGCGAATTTACGCTTTTGAAATTCATGATGACGTAGGTGAAAACCAAGAATACTAACCAACTGTCAATTTCCTCCTAAAATAATCCGGAATAGAGCACTGAAGTGATGACGTCACAAAAATATTTTTCACTGATAATAATTTCGATCCTCGATTTCGATAGGAACATATAATTTTCCCATACAGATCTCTGTATTTTTGCCATGATTCATTACGTAATGAACCAGTGCGAAAATACAGTGATTTCATGGGGAAATTATATATTCAAACGGTCATATCTCCGTTGATTTTTAACCGATATTCTTAAAATTTGGCTTGTTAACGTCTTTCTTGATGTTYTGTCGAAATTGAGGATCAAAAATTATCAAAAGCAAGGTTTTGTTTTTCGTGACGCCACACTTCGGTACTATATGCTGAGCACGAATAGGCTTGCCACGTTAAAGATGGTTAGCAACAAATTGAAAAGGATCTCGGAAGGAAATATAAATATAAGAACAGTTTCAACACACTAAACTGATCAAGAACTAAGGGAGTCTTAGAGCCTTTTTTGTTTCTTTTTTTGTTAAAAATTGTGAGTCTTACTTGTCTTGGTCTTAACCACGGATGCTAGGTACTCTGGCAATATACTTGCCTAGTGACAAAACCAAATACAAAGGAATTCTCAGTAAAGTTCGAATAGACGCTTAAAGAAAGAACTATAGGGTGCAATAGTGCTAAATACACTCACATCCATTTCACGAGAATTTGAACACCATACGATAACTATTTAACAGTAATATAACATTTAACGCTACAACTTAAAAAATAGTATATTAAATCAAGTTTCTTTGATTTCTTTGATTCTTGTAGTGCCCATCAATTTTCCATTACCGGCTCTTATGATTACTTTTGATGATTCATATAGCGCCCTTATAATTCCATATCAAGGCGCTTGACAATGAGTTATAATCTTATGAAAGGTCGTCAGTTTACACTAGTAGGCACTGGGGGTTGTCACTGCCAGGGCTTTATTATGTCCTTACACTAAATTGCCGCCTGGTTGTCAAACTAATAATAATAAAAATTCCAATTCGCAAAAAGGCCTTTGTTTTAACCATCACTGATATAGTGAATAGTACAAGGAGTCTATAGAAATAGATTAAAAATCCAGATGACAGCTTCCTGTCCTTAAAAGCAATGGTAAATATGGATTTTAAATTTCAAGTGTACACAGGTGTTACATATCATAAAAAGATAGATATTTATTCATTGATTCTTGGTCGTCTAAAACGATAAATCTTCTCCTCCTCTCCTTTCGCGATGGTTTTATCTCAATCAAAAGAGGTGATTTTTATTTTTCTTTCTGTTATCCTATGTCTTTTAATTTGCCTTGGAATATTTGGGAACTCTCTGGTTATTGTGGCAGTAAAGAAAAAACGTTCTCTACGATCAACAACCAACATTCTCCTTGCCAATGTTGCCGCATCTGACATCTTAACTCTAGTGTTTCTTCCATTGATGTCGTTTCAAGGTCTTATTAATCAAGACGGTTTAATCGCTGACTTAATGTGCAAGATCTTTGTTGACTTTCATATTCCAGCGACTGGATATGCTGCATTAATTTTAACGCTTTCTCTTTTGGCCATCGAGAGATACCATGCTGTTGTAAAGCCCATGAAAAATGGAATCCGGCTTCAAAATGAAACAGTTCGTTATGCGGTCATTGCTGTTTGGCTCATTGCCGTCATACTGACCTTGCCAACGTACATTTTTTGTGTCTTCAACGCGAACAAAGGTAGTTCAGGATCCTGCACACATGAATACCCAAGCGAAAAATTCAATCAAGTTTACACAACAATTGCCGGGATTTTAGGAATACTTTTACCAACAGTTGTGTTGTTCTACTGCTACTTTCAAATAGTGAAAGAGCTGTACTTGAAAAAGAACGCAATTGTACCAGATATATATTCTCAATACGAAAAACGCACGAAACGGAAACTAGTTAAGGTTTCTCTATCAGTAACTATAGCATTTGTTCTGTTTACATTTCCTCTTTTCATAACTGCATTATTGAGAAGTTTTGGGATTTCAACCAAAAAAGTCCTTAATATAACAGCCACGGCATCGCTTTTACAATGTACAGTTAGCCCAATTCTTTACTCCTTCCATAGCACAAATTTTCGTCAAGCTTTTAAAGAAATACTTCAAATGAAACCGATGAATTGCAGTATCAGAAGTACAGCAAACGTTTTACGAGTGAGATTTAGTAAGAATAAGATTAGACCAAGATATTAAAACAGGCAAATGAAATGGAAATATAAAGATGACATTTTATATTTTCTTTAGTAGCTGCTGCGCTTTCGAAAGAACGAGCTACTCATCAGAAAAAATTTGTAACATTTGGTCAGCTATGATTTCAAGCTCACGCCCCCTCATGTGAGCCCATACAAATTATGTCTCAAAAACACGGTTTTTGGATCTTTTCTCACAATAATGACTATCTAGGCAAAAAAACAGAAGTGGATTCAGTTAATTCAACTATTCAYGGACTGTATTATATGGTTTAGATTGAATTCTATTTTTAAAAAARCACCGTACTTTTTGAGTTGAATGTACGCTATTGGATGTATTTTGCAAGAGAAAATGCATGACATAACCGGGGTCAAGCTAGAAAATCGTCTCTCCTCGAAATAAAACAGAACCTGTCAACAACAACAACAACAACAACAACAACAACAAAACGGAAGTGGAAAAAGACCGAAAAGAGCAAATATAACAAATGTATGTATGGGCAATTTTTTCCAATGTTTTAGTCCCTGACACTTGAAAACGTGTGCGCATGCTCATATGTATCTAAAACGTTATGAAAGATCTTTAAAAATTAACTCTTTCTTTCGAAAGCGCAACAGCTACTAAAGGTAAAAAAAAAGTTTTTCATCTTAAAAAAAACTTTAACAATAAAACACCTACTTTTCCTTTTTTAATATGTTTTTGGTTATTCGGAACTTTTGCTCTTAACGAATTAAATAATGAATAAATAATAATAAAAGGTCAACTTTTTTTCGTATTTGCCTGTTTTAACATAGTTAAAAAATAAAACTTAATTATTGCTGGGCTACATGTGGTAAACCAGTCGTGAATAGGTTAAATTTGGGTATATTTCATGTTCAATGAAAAAAAACTCTTGTATTCTCATAACAACAAATGCATTTCTTTTCAATCAAGAAGTATTGTAACCGCGCGCTCTCTTCTTTTGTTCTGTTCAGTTCTAGTGCTTTGATTTCAGATACAAGCTTTGAATCATATACTCGAAGCAGACTTTTTCAACAAGCAAGGATTCATCAATAAAGAAAACAGGGCTTCGAAACAAGCCAATTGAGGCGAAATAATTACGGTAAGCGATTTTGCATTAATTGGAAACACGTTTCACACMGACACACTACATCTACATTCATTTTTCTTTCCACACAACGCTGAACTAAAATACCGGTAAAATACCGGAGAACCTAGATAAAAAAACCCACGTAGCACAGGAGAGAACAGCAGATCGAACAGCTCAATTCACTTATGGTGTCCGCAGACCTCGAACCAGTGACACTAACCTTTGGAATCACAGTGGTAAAAGATGACGCTTTATCAGCGTACGCCAACCTGTATGCTACCTATGATTGTGCATGCTTGAGCGTCGCACCAAAAAACTCTATATAGCCACCTAAAATATTTATCTATTGTTATACAATTCTAGACTAGATTAGACATCTAGAAATGTTAATTTTTTATCAGCATTTTGAAATGCATCCGCAAAGACCTGTTTGCACTTTTCTCGCATATTCTTCTGGCTCACGCTCATTGTACTATTCGCTAACCATAAAGACGTTTCCAGAAAGAAGGAAAACGATCAAACGAGCAGTGTTCTGTCACATTTTTCCTTTAAATTTAAATGGTAAAGAAGCTAATTCTCTCAGGTCATGAAGCTTAATTAAAAAGTCGATCTTGTATCCGTCCACTGATCGAGTGACTTGCACACTAAGTTGGTGAGATTGTTTGTTGTGTCCCTTTCTCTCTGTCTATCTTATTTTTTCTTTTTTTTNTTTTGTTTTTTTTTTTTTTTGTTTTTTTTTTTTTTTTTGTTTAATTATATTTCATTCACTCTATTTTTTGTCATCTATTAAACTTCTAAGACAGTAAGATATGCCTCCAATCATTAAATATGTAAAAATATGTTTAATTTATTTAACTCAAATCACTATATATAGCTGAAACATGATGCCCTGTGATAGGGAAGTCTCTTAGCTAGACAAAAGTACAAGAGCCCTTACAACTTGGTCTAGACCTAGCACGCAAAACTCCAATTCGATATATGAGTTAATACATGAGTCCGTGCCCTGGACAACTTTAATTAGCCCAGAGGTTGCTCCAGGGTGTTAATAAAACTTGAAAGTTAGTTGTTTTCGAAGATCTGTATTTCAGTGTAGTTTCTTCATATATACATGGTATATACTTATGTATTTATAATTACTTAGAGTGAGAAAATAGTCTGGTAAGCTGGTAAGGTATTTAGCTAGGAGTGATACGATGGATAGCCGTATAGTGAGGATAAAAAATGAGTTTAAAAAGTAAAATGAACTGTTTGCAATAACAGAGCGTAATCTCGGGCATTGTGCGCGCGCATCCTTTCTCCAAGAAAGAAATTAGTGCGCGTGAACTTAACGTGATGAAGTCATTGCAGTGTTTTGATGGGCAAAGTATCTAGAAAGCCTCTTTAAACTCTTATATGTCTTCAAAACGACTGAAAGATGACCCCGTTTTTTGTTTAATATATAACCCTTAAAGAAATGCCGAACTGAAATGTACTTCTTCTCGACTCAAAATCTCTATAATTAAAAAAAGGAATCGTATGCTGGAAGAAAAAATAGCTGTTCTTAATTTGATTTTTTAGATTTTTTAGATTAAATGAAAAATCCATAGCTACAACACAAGTGGGATAAATACACTACCTCAACACCAATCCATTAACATACCCAAAGCAAACTTATGCCCAGGGAAGAGAGTGCTTAAACCAATCCTGAGAACGGAACTGTAAAGTTCTTTACCTTGATTGCGATGAAGAAGCTAYAAAGCACTTTCAAAATGAATCCAACAGAATATCTACAAAAGTATATGTTTACAATTTAGGGGGGAGGGGAGGAGGATAATCYATTTGTGGAACACTCACAAAACATATAAGCTTAAAATAGCATTTAATTGAAGGAGCATTAACCCTGGGGCTAATAAATTTTGATAAGTATCATTGAAAAATATGAAACAAGACTATATCATGAAGCAAATTTATTTCTGAAATTAAGAATATAAATGAAGAAATAGCGAGGGAGTGGAAGAAATAAAGAAACAGTGAAAGAGTAACGCTTTGATAGCAATGCCGGCCGCGAGGAGGTTTCGTTCCAGGTCTGTTTGCGACTGGTGGCGGGATTGTTAGTGGGTGGGTAGCTACTTAGATTAAAAAAAAAAAAAAAAAAAAAAAAAAAAAAAAAAAAAAAAAAAAAAAAGGCTTTATCGCCTTTATTTAAAAGTAAATGTGTCTTTAAGAGAGTCAAAAGACCAATTGTTATGTCCAGCCGAATTGACACGTCAGATAAGTCGCTTTAACACTTTAATGTTTCCCTTAAATATCACTTTAATATCACTTTAATGTTTCCCTTAAATATCACTTTAATATCACTTTAATATCACTTTAATATCACTTTAATATCACTTTAATATCACTTTAATATCACTTTAATATTACTTTAATATCACTTTAATATCACTTTAATGTTTTCCTTTTGTTTCCCTTTTGTTTCTTGCACTAAGAATGCTAAGAACGAAAAGGTTTCACAGCGCAATGCGCAAACGTGTGACCACATTTAATGTATTATTGGTTTGCAATCAATCCCAAGAGAGCACAATAACAAAAGGGATGTCCGCCATGTTGGAAGATATAACAAAATAATTCATTGAAAAATCTTTTGTCAAATTCTTCCAACATGGCGGCCATGACGTCTATTGCAAACGAAGAATTCGCATACTTCTATGCACGGGATTCGTACATTAAGCCGACACATTTCGATCCAAGTAACCTGGTTTCACCAAATCAGGAGTGCAAATGCTCGTTTGGCTGGAAAAAGTCCGTGCGTAGAAGTGTTCGAATGCATTAAATGTAGACATACTTTTGTGCGTTGCGCTAATACGCTGCTGTCCGGTATTGTAAAAACAAATTAACGAAATAAAAATTCCTCATTTCATAAAGGGCATTATTCATTCGATATAGTTACTGCTAACATGCGCAATATTAGCAGCGTGAATATATTTATGCAAGACTTATTGCAATACTAATAAAAACTGTTCATGTGCTTTAAGTTTGACCCCCTTGGGCTGCGCCATTGCTTTACTTGCGGTGGTGCGAATAGCGATGAAGAATTCATAAGCGCAAGGTGACTTAAATATACGATCTTTTGACAAAGAAATATACAAAATTGCTGGTATTATCTCATTTTTAAAAATCTTGACTCAATAATAACTGTTTGTAATATATTAGGCTCATGCCAAACGTCAAACTTTACATGAGCCGAACCTAATCACATCAAAGAAGGCCGCCTTGTTATCCATTGTTTCAATTAAGCTTGGCTCATGTGAAGTTCGACGTTTGACCTGAGCCTTACCTTCCCTCTGTGTCCCATGTCGTTTAGTTCCTTCACTATGTAGTTTAATACAGAAAAAAATATTCCGAAGATAAACAAACCGATAACTATAGGTTGGTACTTGGAAGCAAAGCTTATTCTCTTTACATTTCTTTTCTTTTCTAGCTTTAGAAGAAACAATATTAGATAGCGTTATTCATTTATATATATTAGTATTTCATTTTCGTATCGACATTAGAATTTGGCTGAAAAAAACCTTTGTATYTCAAGTCTATTTTTTATTGTTGTTCACAGTTTTGATAATTAAATTACTGATATATTTTGTAAAATGAAGTCTTTTCAATCGAGTTTCTAATCTCCGTAGTAAGACTTAGCTTACATTATATAAAGTGGAGAGCACTCTTTTGCAACGGAAAACAATTGAAGAGCTATTAAGCGAAATRAAAACCTGAGGTAATGATGTCTGAAGAGCCTTTTACAAAAGATTTACAGTATTCCACTTCAAAACATATCTATGAAATCTGAGAGCTCCTTACAATATCCAAAACACCTAATTCAAACGACACAATAAATAAAAGGGTTGGATTTACAGTTTTTCAGTGAAGCCCAGTTGCCAAGCATGGGGGAAACTATAAAATTCATTTTATTTTGTCTCTCATGGTTTCCGCTTTTCTTTATCAGCGTCTCTTCGAAACCAAATATTAATGAGTATCCCATCGATTCTGAAACTTTTGACAGTCAAGAAATCGAATTTGGTTTGAAAAGGGAAAATCTGCAATCCTTGCAGCAGCCTAGAAGTATTTCCAAAGTTAATCGAAAACCGACGATTGACGGTACTGTCTTGGCCTTCGGGACCACGCCTTACTCGATTGCGACTTTAGAAAGAATCAGTAGAAGTTCGATTAGAAAACCACGAAATGGACGGACAAAACAGTTTTACCCTTTGAGAACTAGGACGACAGGAGGGAAGAAGCAAGCTCCCGATGACTCGTTTTTTAAGAGGATAAATGCTGTCGTAAGTAACTCCACATCATTGTTGTTGTTAGTAGTGATAGTGTTTTTACAGAGGATAAATGCTGTYGTAAGTAACTCCATATCATTTTTGTTGTTAGTAGTGATAGTGTTTTCACAGAGGATAATTGCTGTTGTAAGTAACTTCACGTCATTGTTGTCGTTAGTAGTGATAGTGTTTTCACAGAGGTTAATTGCTGTTGTAAGTAACTCCACATCATTGTTGTTGTTAGTAGTGATAGTGTTTTTACAGA